AGAGACGACATCAGACCACAGGAATGTAGAGACTTTAATAAAAAGAAAAGGCTCCGCGCTTCTCCCGTCCCTTGTACAGGCTGAAGCTCTGTGCAATCACTGTGCATGCTTCATGATCATGGTAGCAATGAGAAAGAACAGAGGCATTCTGTGGGGCCATAAAAGTCTTTCTGGTTCATTCAACAAAGGGAAATACAGCAAGAGGAAGGAAGCACTTACTAAACGACAAGACTAGGTGCCCAGCCCTCACACATAGCATTTCCTTTATGCTTCGCAACAATATATTATCCCCACTATGCTGATGAGGAAATGAGCCTGCCGTTGTCACACGAGTCCTGGTGACCTTATATACTCACACATTTTCCCTCAACATCTTCTCCTGCCAAGCCCTGTTCTAGATACTGCAGATACAACAGTAAGAAAACAGATAAGGGCTCTGCTCTCAGGAAAGCGCTAGTATTGTGGAAACAGTCGCACCACCATACATACACAAACAATTTCAGACGGCGATACAATTAAAGAGTGTTAGAAAAGTAAAACTGAAGGATGTGATAAAATAACTAGGAAGGCAATTCTAGGTTGCAAAGTTCTCAGAGATAATTCAAATGATAATTTTGAAGAGAGTGTACAGAGCTAAAGACAATGTTTAATAAAGTGACTCTCAAGTCAAACCTTCAATGGAATTCTCTAGAACTACCAGAAGCAAAAAGTTACCACTCATTCCCTGAATATCAGAAAAGATAACTATGGAGTTATCCCAGTTATAACCTAAAGCAGTAAGTTATATAGTCAGTCACCAGATGGCAAATACTTCCTCATGAACCAAGCTACTGAGGGCAACAGGCCAACCAAATTAATTCTTAAGATACCCCAGCACCTACATCAGTGCATAATACATTATTCTTGAATAAATATATGATGGAAAGAAGAAAAGAAAACAATGTTAAGATGTCACTGCCATGAGTTAAATAAATCCCTTTACTGGCCAAGTGGCTTCAATTTACTCCACCCTACCCCCGACACCAGTCTTAATCACAAGAAGCAAATCCACGAACAATACTGTACTGAGAAACAATCAGCATATACGATCCCTCTCCCCAGCCACCAGACAGAAACCCCATCTTGAAATCACAAGTTCCACTTAAAGAAGTCTAATATCCAAATAACTAAAAATTATTAAAGGGGATAATTATTTGGCTTTTTTTTTTTTGAGATAGGGTCTTGCTTCTTTCCAGGTTGGAATACAGTGGCGAGATCTTGGCATACAGTGGCGAGATCTTGGCTCCCCGCAGCGACGACCTGACGGGCTCAAGCTATCCTTTCACCTCTCAGCCTCCTGAGTAGCTGGGACGATAGCCGTGCACCACCGTGCCCAGCTATTTTTTTTTTTTTTTCATTTCTTGTAGGGGCAGGATTTCACCATGGTGGCCCAGGCTGGTGTCAAACTTCTGAGCTCAAGCAATCAACCTGCCTCGGATTCCCAGAGTGCTGGAATTACCGGTGTGAGCCACCACAACTGGCCTATTTGGCTTCTTTAAGAAATTTTAAAATAAAAACTCATCTAATGCAGGTATCAGGATACCTGTAACCAGGAGCTTGCTCCGAATACATGTAAACTGCCAAGTTGTGACGATCTGTTTACCAATAATGCTGACCTGGTACTCCTTTAGGAAGGGGACAAAGTACATTCATCTCTGCATTGCTTCAGGGCCGTGTCCGGCTTAATGCAGATGATCAATGATTATATGATCTGAGTTATAAAAAACTAAAATCCCCCCAAACTTTTCAGTCATGGAGCAGCTGGATAGGGTGGGGACTACCCTTATTCTTCAAGGTGGTCCTCAAGAGACAGAGCTGCTCAGCCTGCTCTGCAGAACCTGAAGGTATCGTTATCACATAACACTTTTCAGTGTCTCTTATAGAGCTGAAGATCTGGAGAAGTCTTAGAAGTCTTGCTTCAATGTTCGGAAGTTTATTTTTAAAGGACCATCCTAGTGGCCATACAGAATAACAAATGGCCATTCACAGCTGAAGAGCAAAGCTGAGTTTGCACCATATATCAAAGATGCCAAATCTTCCTTTCTGGGAACCAGATGGAATGATCGAAAAACACTTTAAAATTGAGATACCACTTCTGATGAATGCTATCAATTTTTGTGATGTTTCAGTCATGAACCTGTGACATTTTTTTCTGAGACAGAGTAGTGTTATTATCATTAGTTGATCCAGCATTAGGAAACGTGGATTGGTGAGGGCGTGGTTAATAGGGATTATATTCACTCTCTCCAATAAGAAGCTTCCTCTGCATACGCCATCTCATTTTAAAAAAGTAAAACCACAGCATGCAAGTTCCAGTACTCCTGGATATTGCTCTTCATAACGTTAGCCACATCTTTCAAGTTTTTAAAGCTTCAATTCACACTACTCACAGAAAGAAAACTATCACAAATTAAATACTATCCATCTGCACACTTAATTGATTACTCGGTTTCATTTCCTTCTGGATGACCATCGTGTTGATGAGCCAGAAGGATTGGCTCTGCAAGATCTGAGATCCAAAATGGCAGCCGAGCTATCAACTCACCAGAACCATAATGCTTCCCACACATGAAGCCAGGTCTTATTTATCTCACCTTTTAATTATCTGGGGGAAAATAATATTTATAAAAACATTTCAAAGAATCAAGTGGCATTCATTATATCCTTCTCTGTTCTGCCTAAGAGAGCAGGCATCCTGCTCGGGTTCCTCCTCTCTGCAAACTGAATTAACCTGCCATTCATATGTTTACACAGTCCACAAAAACAAGCTAATGGCACAACATGGAAAACCTAGGTTTTTCTCTCTTCAGTAAGACCAACTTTAGAAAATAGGTGTAAAATGAATCGTCTAGCAAGCAAAGCCCTAAAAAAAGTGCTTTCATTTTCAGAAAAAAAAAACAACAAAAATCAGAGCTGATTTTCCTGTAGGTCTACCGAAATGCAACACTCCCTATCACTAAGGTAAGTTCTGTATCTTTTTCCCCTTAAAATCAAGCCATAAAAACAATTTAGAGACAACTTTGTTCCAGTCCACCTCTTTAATGTAATGTTTCCAATCATTCTTTTCAAAAGCTGAATTTATACCATCAAAAAACTTCCAGTGAATCTAAACAGTCACTTCTCTACTTATTACCATTACTAATCTAACAACATTAATTTTTTAAAATAATAAAATCCTTGCTTGTTAGAGACAGAAGACTTTAATTATCTTATGCATTCAAATGGAAAGTCTTTTTGTTAAATTAGCGTGAAAGTCCCTTCATCTACACACAATTGGCCCAAAGAAACAGGCCATTTTCAGCACAAGAGGCCAATCCATTTTAACAGTGAATAAAGCTTTTGAAAGCACCACACACCCTCTTCCAGACTGTCAAATTTTCAAAATGGTCCAGCATTTTTTCCACTTTATCTTTTTTAACACTTTCAGGCCCAGTAAGCATCTCATAATTAGATTAATTAAAAAGGAAGCAACAAAAAACACCGCTCCCTTCTGATCAAAATTATTCCATTTATGCTTAATTAGCTTTAATCCACGTCTACATATTTAATGATGGGGATATGACAATTCAACCCATTTGCATATTTTAAATGCCTTTTCTAAACTATACTTTGTAACAGATTTAGAAGACCAGTCTCTTTCTCATGCCAATATGCCACAGCATAAATCAGGAGGATACAAATTAGGAAAAAAAAGAGAAAAGAAAACAAGGCCTCTCAGAGCCAGGGATGTGCTCAGGGGGGTGGAGTAATTTACCCAGGGGTGGGGGCAATTTACCCGCCACATCACAAACTACAATCCTTTCAGCCCACCAGACCGAGAAGCATTACATCACACTCTCACAATGATAGGGGGAGGAGGCTCTGAGAAAGCAAGTTTTCAGCTTTCTTTCCTCCCTGCTCTCAGGCTTCTAGAATCCTGCATTAGGAGTAATGGAATTTAACTTCAGGCACTGCACAGCTTCAGGGTTTACTAACAATCACACAGACAGCTACTTATACATGTGACCCTAAATGACCACTTCGCTGTGGATACATGGCTGAAACAGGCAGCCACACACCCACACGATGAATTTGTGCTGAAAAGCCCAGTTATGCATCTGTGTAAAATTAAACACAAATTTTATTTTGTGAGGAATGAAGAAGGCTAATACACAGGGAGAACTGATAAAGAAATAATTTCTAATCGTGGTGAAGAGCTGTTCATATCTTTAAAACATCATGTTTACAAGACAGTCCTACCCTTTGGATGAATCCACGATCAAAATAAAAGCGCATCTGGCTGCACATTTGAGAACACACAGAGAGACCCAGTGCAAATGAGCGCGCGCAGAAAGGAGAGGGGTGAGCCACATATTGCTTGGGAGGTTTTCAAGCAGGGGAATCTACAAACCCCAAACCTCCTGGTGTTCACCCGCCCCCAACCTGATGTTTAAAATGTATCAGGTCTTACTTTAGCTTTTACATCTCTCTAGGAAGGAAGGCCCAGTTTAAAAAACAAAAAGATAGAAAAAGGCTTTCCCGTTCGAGGACTTGCCCTCCCAGATCCTTTGTCGGCCTTAGCAGCCGAAAGAATGCAAACCCATTTATATTTATGCAAATTTTTGCTGCAGATTTAAGGGGGGAGGGGGAGGTCTGTGTTTTTTAAAAACCTCTTTCTAAATAGCAAATTTCCAATTACTCTCAGCTTCATTTATTGCAAGATAGAAACACTGATGAAAATCTGCATATACATTAAAAGTGCAATTAAATAACTTCAAAATCTAAATATTTTACCAAGTCTTTTCCATTTCTAAAATGCCGAACCAAAAGTACATCACGGGTCTGATTTACACAGATCCACGAAATGTCTGAAGCCAGTCTCCATGCTAGACAAATGTCGATTTGCAACACCACCAGCGAAAACGGTTAGACAAGATCCATATAAATCAATTGGTTTAAAAAAATTGAAAATATTTACCAACCTCATAAAGTGCAGCAGTGCTTAAATCCAGCAAATTGAGGCATACAAGGTAGAAATGGAAATGAAAAAAGGTCCAAAAAATGAATTCTTTTTGTCTATCTGTTTTTTTGTATTTTAAATATTCAGAAACCAGCAGAGACTCTGTCGGCCATTTTGGCTTGAACTAACTCACTCTCACACACTCTCCCTCTTGCTCTCTCTCTCCCCCTCTGTCTCTAAAGGAAGCAGCTTTTTGTGACCTTCAAATAGAGGCAGGTCATGTGACTTCGGGTAGGTTTGTCAATCAGGAAAGGGGAGGGAGCTGGAGCTGAAACTGCCTTAAAGGGGAAGCAGCCCTTTTCTACTCTCATTTGTGAAATGCTGTTATCTCATACTCTCCGCCTACAGACACTGCATGTGAAAGTGGCAACAGCATAAGGGTAACAGATGAACAAAATAGAAAAACCTTTATTGGTTTATAGAAATATGCTCAGTTGCTAACGATTCTTACAGCTCCTGGATCTTATCCTGGCTCGCTTGCTAGTTATTCTCTAGATGTTTGGGCAAGCACAGGCTGGCAAACTGCTCTGTAAAAGGGGCTGAAACACCGCTCTACCAAACAAGAGGCTTTAGTTTTGGGAAAGACCGAGGTGAAATATAGGGCAAAACTGATCTCTAAGAAGCTCCTAAAATGCATAGAAAAAGACTGAAAGAAACGCACAAAAGTATAAACTGAACTGCAATTCAGAAAGGTTAAGTGACTTTTCCCAAATCACACAGCTAAACAGCTGCGGAAGAGGGAATGGTTTCCCAATTCTGAACTCTGCACTTACTGTTTTGCCTGTATGTGTGTTCAGTACCTCTTCCCCCAAACTCAAATAAAAACTATGCTACAGCATTGCATACGGAGTTTCTCTGGGCTAGGGCAGGTCTGAGTCATCTTTAATCCCCTCCCCCACCGCAGGAAGTAGCTCTGCAGCTGAGGGAGAGGAGGCACTAAATTAAAACCTACCTGGTTTCCACCCCTCCTAATCCCGTCTCCTTTCCTCATGCATCTCCATTACTAACTACCGAAGAAACCCAAGCTGGGTTTACATCTCCAGCCCTGCAGCTCACAGGCTGTCTAACTTTAGTGCTAAAAGCGAGTAAGTCCCTAACCTACCCTGCCTGGCCTCAGTTTTCTCATTTGTAGGAGATTGGGCTTCACTAGAGGGTATGTTTGGTTTCTTTCACCTCTGAAACACTGCACTTGGCTTCTTTTTTCTTATTTTTATTTTTTGAGATGAAGCCTTACTCTGTCACCCAGGCTGGAGTGCAGTGGCCCCATCTCGGCTCAGGGCAACTCCCACCTCCCGCGTTCAAGCAATTCTGCCTCAACCTCCTGAGTAGCTAGGATTACAGGTGTGCACCACCATGCCCGGCTAATTTTTGTATTTTTAGTAGAGACGGGGTTTCACCATGTTGGCCAGGCTGGTCTCGAACTCTTGACCTTGTGATCCACCCGCCTCAGCCTCCCAAAGTGCTGCGTTTACCAGAGTGAGCCACCATGCCCAGCCCCACTTGGCTTCCTTCTTTGAGCAGTTCCGTTCATTTTTTCCTGGCTATCTCAAAAGTTCGCCTCCGCCCTGCGAAGCCTTCTTGACCCTCACAGTCCAGACCAGGCCTTCCTGTTAACTCCCATAACATCCTTTACTACTTCTTCAGAATGCAATGGTGATAACTGCAATTTAGTATCTGCGAAAGAATGTGCTTAACATTAGTCTTCCCAGGAGACTGTAAACTGTATTAAGGATAAACACCATGTCTTCATTGCTCTGTGAGGCTCCACACCAAACCCCACATAGGAGGTGAATAAATGAATGAATCAATGACTTGGACCCTATTCAGAAGGACTGGGCTGAGTAGGAGGAAATCTGCCACCTGAGTATAAAAACTAGGGGAATGAGGGTCACATTGTTCCCAGAAACTCGAATTCATCTACCTGTTTTAAGGACTGCTTCAGGAAATAAAGTAACTAAAATAGTAAAAAGCACATGAGAGTGCCCTATGACTATCGACTCCACCTATCTCTATAAGCCAGAAAAGGGATGATTCCCCAGTGTGCTTCTCTCATAAACCAGGCTGACATGCCAGGCAGCAGACGACTGACAGATTCTAGAAGCCGGGCTTTTCTTGAAAAGGAACCTATGAATGCTTGTAAAATCCCACATACTTGTCATCCTGGCTTCTGGGTCTTGATACAGTCTCCCGCCTTTGTTTTTTCCACTCAGATATGAGGACAGGAAGGAGCTGTTTCAGGGCAGGCAGAGGCCAATGCCTGGACGATCTGGCAGCCTGAATAGCTGTGGCTTAACAAGCTTCCACTGTCTTTGCCTAGCACTGAGTGAAATAGCCAGGCCCTGCGCTGACAATTGAGATGCAGGAAAAAGCAGGAAACTCCTAGAATGGAAATTCTGATTATTTAGTCTATTTATATCCTTCCAATACCTTCCAGATGAGTTACTGAAAGTCTACTTGCTTGTAGCGTGCTCGATTTGTTAAAATGTATGGAGACTGAACATCCACTTTCTTTTAATTTGCAATGGACACGCTTTCTTTATGAAACTGAACTTTGCTAAGTCTCCATTCCCCAATGCAGAATATTGAACACAAATGTTTCTGTGTTGCCTTGTGTTAAATAGCAAACTGTATGAAAAGTTTCAAAACAGAACAAACATATTTTAAATAAAATATTGGTTCTAAGGCCGGGCACAGTGGTTCATGCCTGTAATCTCAGCACTTTGGGAGGCCAAGGCAAGCAGATCACTTGAGGTCAGGAGTTGGAGACCAGCCTGGCTAATATGGCAAAACCCCATGTCCACTAAAATACAAAAAAATTAGCTGGGCATGGTGGAAGGTGACTGTAATCCCAGCTACTTGGGAGGCTGAGACAGGAGAACTGCTTGAACCCAGGAGGTAGAGGTTGCAGTGAGCTGAGATCAAGCCACTGCCCTCCAGCCTTGACAGCAGAACCAGACTCTGTCTCAAAAAACAAACAAACAAACAAAAAACCCATATATATAGGTTCTAATTTCAAATAATATGCTGAATATTTTTTCCTTAACCTCCAGATCATCTTTTCTATGCAATACCTCTAAATTTAATGCAATTAGTCCAATTGTTCATATAAAAGAAACAAGTACAATAAATACATTATTTTTCCCTTGTGCTTCCAGACAGATTCTGATAGATTTATTATACTTTTTTCATATTAACAATTAGACAATATTTTAAAATTATATTATTAAGAGGTAAGGATACAAAGTAATAAAAATTATTTTCTAAAACAAAAACAAGACCATTCAAATGAGTGTTATCTTTCAAAGCTGGCACCTTTGGAGGTTACATACCATTACTCAATATATTTTTATCAGAAAACAAGATTGGCCAGGTGTGGTGGCTTACACCTGTAATGCTGGCACTTTGGGAGGCCAAGTGGGTGGATCACTTGAGGCCAGGAATTTGAGACCCTGGCCAAAATCTCAAAACCCTGTCTCTACTAAAAATGCCAAAATTAGCCAGGCATGGTGGCACATGCCTGTAGTCCCAGCTACTCAGGAGGCTGAGGCTCAAGAATCACTTGAACCCAAGGAGGTGGAGGTTGCAGGTTGCAGTGAGCTGCACTGAGCTGAGGTCATAACACTACATGCCAGCTGGGGCGACAGAGCAAAATTCTGTCTCTTAAAAAAAGAGAAGAAGAAAACAAGATTGAAAAATAATGAACTGAACTGAACATTTAACTCAAAAATCTAGAAAAAGACTGGGCATGGTGGCTCACGCATGTAATCCCAGCAGTTTGGGAGACCAAGGTGGGCACAGATCACCTGAGGTTAGGAGTTCAAGACCAGCCTGGCCAACATGGTGAAACCTTGTCTTTACTAAAAATACAAAAATTAGTGGGGCATGGTGGCACATGCTGGTAATCCCAGCTACTTAGGAGGCTGAGGCAGGAGAATTATTTCAACCTGGGAGATGGAGGTTGCAGTGAGCTGAGATCATGCCACTGCACCTCAACCTGGGCAACACAGTGAGACTGTCTTAAATAAATAAATGTTCAAAAATCTAGGAAAAGAGTTAATAAACACCAAAAAAGAATAAATATAAAAGAAAGGCTGTCCATGGTGGTGGCTCATGCTTGTAATCCCAGCATTTTGGGAGGCCAAAGTGGGAGAATCGCTTAAGCCCAGTTGTTTGAGACTGGGCAAAAAAACATAGTGGGAGACCTCGCCCCTACAAAAAAATTAAAAAATTAGCTGGGCTTGGTGGGGCATGCCTGTGGCCCTAGCTGTTCTGGAGACTGAGGTGGGAAGATCACTTGAGCCTGGGAAGTCGAGGCTAGAGAGAGCTGAGATCACGCCACTGTATTCTAGCCTCGGCGACGGATTATATATATGTGCCCGTATGTATACTTAGCACAGATATACAGATATAGTTATCGGTTTTTGTTTTGTTTTGTTTTGGGGCACAAATATAAAGTAACAGCCCCCCCTAAAAAAGGTGTAAACTGAATTAATAAAACCAAAAACTATTTTTAAAAATTAAATACATGTAGATAATACTTTCGAAAATCTGATCAATTAAAAGAGAGAAGGGCGGGACTTGGTGGCTCACGCCTGTAATCCCAGCACTTTGGGGGGGCCGAGGTGGGGGGATCACTTGAGGTCAGGAGTTTGAGAACAGCCTGGCCAACACGGTGAAATCCTGTCTCTATTTAAAAAAAAAAGAGAGAGAAAGAGAAGTCACAAACATTAGGGCTGAGAAAGAGGATAATGTAACTGCAGATTTAGAGAAAATCTTTTAAATCTTGCTAGAATTATATGTAACGTTACATAAATAAACTTGAAGATTAAATAAGATGGATGATAGTCAAAGAAAACAGAAGTTACCAAAATTGACTCAAGAAAAATTAGGGGAAACAACCCATAGCAGAAATCTCTAAGATCTTCAACGAATGAGCCACTAAAATGACAGCAAGCCCAATTTTCTAGGTAAATGCTATCTAACTCTCATTGAACAGATAATTTCCATATTATCCCTACTGTTCCAGGAGGTAAAGGATAAAAGGAAAAGCTTCCTGCTTTCTTCAATGAGGAAAACATATTCCTGATAGGCCTTTGGACTAAGATAGTACAAAAATAAAACTAAACTAATCTTCACTTGTGAAGACAGATGCAAAAATACTAAATAAAATATTATGAGATAGAATTGAGTAGTTTTAAGAGAATAATTCATTATGAGCATGTTGCATTTATACCAACAATACTATACCAATGATACAAGGATGGCTAAATTACAACCATAGAAAGACAGTTAAACTAGCTATTAACATTAATCTTCATTTGTTCAATAAATACATACTAAGTACTCTCCCCATCAGACGTTGTGCTGAATGGTAGGGATGCAACAGTGAAGCAGAAGGTTCTCATCTATATGGAGCTGACATCCCCACAGGAAAAGGAATTCACAGAGAAGGGAATAAGCAGTTTGATAGGATACAGAATAACTGAGAGAGGCTCACTTCAGATAAGGTGGTTAGGGAAGGCTTTTCTCAGGAGTGACATTTAAGCTGAGTTGAAAAGCAAATGTTTGAGCGGTCCATGAACAAGAGGGATGATCAGGAGGCTAGGACTTGTGAGCAGGGGATAGAGGCATGAAATGAATCTCAAGAGGTAGGAAGAGCTAGATCATACTGAGTCCTGCAGGCCACAGTAAGGATTTCACTTTAGGAATAGTGGAAAGTCACAGAAGAGTTTTCAGCGGGACGATGAACAGCGCCATTTTCAGAGACAGAAAAAAGCTTGGGATCTGAAACAAATGCAAGTTCAAAATACAAACAAAAAAATTGTAACCACAAAAATTAATACATGCTTAAATGTCCTTTAAATATAACCACTAAGCAGTCCCATTCATTGTTAAATCTACCATTTATGGCCGGGCATGGTGGCTCACGCCTGTAATCCCAGCACTTTGGGAGGCTAAGGCAGGTGAATCACGAGGTCAGGAGATCAAGACCATTCTGGCTAACACGGTGAAACCCTGTCTCTACTAAAAATACCAAAAATTAGCTGGGCATTGTGAGACATATCTGTAGTCCCAGCTACTTGGGAGGCTGAGGCAGGAGAATCACTTGAACCCGGAAGGCAGAGGTTGCAGTGAATGGAGATCATGCCACTGCACTCCAGCCTGGGCAACAGAGAGAGACTCCATTAAAAAAAAAATAGCGTTTATAAAATGTTCACATTTGAAAACAATTCTCACTTTGCAAAACTTCTTAACCATACCTATATAAACATATATATATACACATACATACATACATATATATATGTTTTCCTTTTGAGATAGGGTCTTGCTCTGTTGCCCATGCTAGAATGCAGTGACACGAACATGGCTTACCACAGCCTCAACCTGTCAGGCTCAAGTGATTCTCCTGCCTCAGCATCCCACGTAGCTGAGACTAGAGGTGTGTGCCACCACACACAACTATTCTTTCAATTTTTTTGTAGACAGTGTTTCACCATGTTGCTCAGGCTGGTCTACAACTGCTGGGCTCAAGCAATCCTCCTGCCTCGGCCTCCCAAAGTGCTGGGAGGATTACAGGCATGAGCCACCATGCCCAGACCCTAAATATGTTAACTGTTAAGAAGTCTTAGATACTTAAACGATTTAAATTAGTTACTTGTAGCCAAAGAATTTCAGAAGCAGAATTATGAAAATTCTTTTAAAATGTGATGGCAAAAATAAATAAGATAAATCTACATATTTAATATGGGATGTGTCTACATATTTAATACAGGAGGTGGGTAACTTTTAATTTTTCCTATAAACATGAGATGAAGCCTTCAAAACCTCCTAAAGCAAGCATGCCAAGGACCCTTGGAGGTCTTAAAACCACTTTGGTAGAACACAATAAGATTTGTATTTCCAGAAGCTCATCCTGGCTTCTGTATGCAGATTATACTAACAAGGATCAAGAGAAGCAGGAAAACAAGTTGGAAAGCCTCTGTGGCCATTTAGGTGAGAGAGGGCGGCTACAGCCAGCTGGGTGGTAGAGGGGGAGAAAAGTATGTAAGTATGCAGTATATTTTGAAGGTAGAAGTGATTCTATTGTAAGATAACTGATACTTGTTAAGCATGTAATCTTGTGACCATGAAATATTGTAAGGCCAATCAATTTACTCAAAAATAAGACTCCAAACTCTGGACTCACCATTCATTCATGAAGTCAACAACCATTATTTGTTGTATGGCACCTACTGTGTAGCAGTTACTGTGCTAGGACCAGGTCCAGGGCATACAAAAAGGATTAATAACACCTCAAAGGACAGAGAAGCATGTAAATCCATAATTAAGACATAGCAAAGTATCCTAATGAAAGTATAAATATAGATATAACATGGCTATGCTATGAGAATAAAAAGGGTAACTGCTACTGAGAAAGACTAAGTCTATATGAGAATGAGAAATGAAAAGAAAAAAAAGAAAAAAAGAAAAAGGATAACTGCTGGGAGAATCAGAAGAGATTTCACAGGGGAGGAGGTGAAAGTTTGAACTGAGTCTCAAAGAATGAGTAGGAGTTTGCCATGTAGAGAACCTAGAAAAGGCAAAGACTTTTCCAAGTTTTACCAACTTTAGTACTACCAAACCATGCAAGGAGGAAGGCTGACAAGAAAAAATGTCAATGGGAGAGCTAAGCCTTTCTGCTATTCTTACTCCCAGCAAAGTCAGAAGATAGAAATAATAGCCAAAACTACGTGAGGATCTCCAACGTGACCTGAATCCAACAATCTCTGGATCTGGTTACAAATTCGAATGTTAACATTTATACTATTATTGTAAGTTAGAATGCCAGCAGGCCTTTTAAGGAACATTTTTGCTGAAATTCCTTAGCATTGAACCTCAAAAATAAATCTGCATTTGGAGGAAGGCTTTCTTGACACTCCAGGCTGAGTTGAGTACACCCATCTGTTCTCCAAGGCACCTCATATATATATCTAAAGCGGCGCGTTCATAGCCTGTTATTAACCACTTACTTGGTGTTTCTGTCTCTAAACAATGACCCCTTAAGAGGGCAGGCTATGTAGATTTTATTTCTGGGTCTAGTACAGAAGAGAAATTCAATTAATATCTGCTGAATGAATGAACAAATAAGCAAAGAAATGAATGGATGAATACTATGAACCTAGGTACTTTTAGGTTGTAAAAGAAGACAACACTTATCCTACAGTTGAGAGATAAGACATATGCATGAGGCAATCAACAAAAAGTGTAAGATAAATTATTAAATGTATGGTTGTGCTCTAAGAGAAGGGAGTTGAAAATGGAGACACTACAGCTTAGTTCAGTTGGGTTTCAACAGATAGACAGGAACAGAATGGCTGAAACAGATTTGCTCTGCTCTGAAGATAGTGAAGTTAAAGCTGCAGGCCCCCTCATTTTCATGGATCCCTCCTAAAGCTCTAGGAGGGATCCTAACAAAATGCCCAATGATTCCTTATTTTTTGGTTACTATATTTTTGCTGTCGTTTTTTGCAAGGTCTTGCTCTGTTGCCCTGGCTAGAGTGCAGTGGCACAATCATGGCTCACTGCAGCCTCAAACGGCCAGGTTCAAGCAATCCTCCTGTCTCAAACTCAGCCTCCCAAGTAGCTAGGATGACAGGCGTGTACCAACATGGTCACAACGCCTGGCCAGATAATTTTTATTGTGGTAAAAAACACATAAAATTGATTATCTTAACCATTTTTAAGTGCATAAGTTCAGTAGTGTTATGTATATTCACTCTGCTATGCAACAGATCTCCAGAACTTTTTCATCTTGCAAATCTGAAATTCTGTTCACATTAAACAACAACTTCCTTTTTTTCCCCTTCCCTATCTCCTGGCAACCACCAGTCTACTTTCTGTCTCTAAATTGACTGATCTAAGTACCTCAGATAAATGGATTCATATTAATAGTATTTGTCCTTCCATACCAACTTATTTCCCATTATGGTTCCCCTTGTGTCAGTGGACTTACGAGTGATTTCAGGCATTCTGTAGATTCTCCCCAAGGAGACCTTCAGTTGAGGATACCTTTGTTTTGGGTTTAATAGAATAAACTAAATTTATGTGGTTTTCATAAAACTGCGTATGGTTGAGATGTTAACCATCAATGTACAAATAGCTGTTACTGGGTCAACTCACTCTGTAACATGACAGAATTGTGCAGAGCCACATTATGTTTGATATACATGTCAATTCAAAGGCTATTTCAGATTAGTCAATGTACGAGAAAAGGTGAAGCTTTGCAATTTCATAGTGCATATATAAAAGACAGAGGTTTGGGCCAGGCGCGGTGGCTCACACCTATAATCCCAGCACTTTGGGAGGCCGAGGCGGGTGGATCATGAGGTCAAGAGATCGAGACCATCCTGGTCAACATGGTGAAACCCCGTCTCTACTAAAAATACAAAAATTAGCTGGGCATGGTGGCGCATGCCTGTAATCCCAGCTACTCAGGAGGCTGAGGCAGGAGAATTGCTTGAACCCAGGAGGTGGAGGTTGTGGTGAGCTGAGATCGCACCATTGCATTCCAACCTGGGTAACAAGAGTGAAACTCCGTCTCAAAAAAAAAAAAAAGATAGAGGTTTCCCCAAAATTGCTAACAACTTTTTTTTTTTTTTTTTTTTGAGATGGAGTCTTGCTCTGTCACCAAGACTGGAGTGCAGTGGGACAATCTCGGCTCAATGCAATCTAAGCCTCTTGGGTTCAAGCAATTCTCCCGCCTCAGCCTCCTGAGTAGCTGGGATTACAGGTGCATGCCATCCATCACGCCCGGCTAATTTTTTTATTTTTAGTAGAGACGGGGTTTCACCATGTTGGTCAGGCTGGTCTCTCCTGACCTTGTGATCTGCCTGCCTCAGCCTCCCAAAGTGTTGGGATTACAGGCATGAGCGACTGCACCCAGCCAACAATTTTACAAATTTATATGATGTCACCAATAACAAGTTGTGTGGCTGAATGGAACTTATCTAATTAATAACAAAAAACATATTTTGGTCAACTATGCTATAGAAAGCACTGATTATTCACCTATTCTCTTTTTAGAAAATATCACAGAATAGGGAGTATGACAAAAGAGTATAGCATGG